GTTTGCTGCAATACACCTAATTTTTAATCTCTCTTGCTCAATGCTGTTCTCAAAAAACACTCAATCCGTTTGCTCGAATCACATTTATATCAATCAAAATGCAGAAGTAGATTTACCTGTCAGGGGTGTGCGATAGACTTACCTCCACGTGGTGCACTCTGGGCAACGTATACTCATACGGCAAAAAAGTCTATTGACTGGCAGTTGATTTCTGACATCAAACTACCATCACCTCACTCTATGCCATATTCGACTATTTCACAGTACTCACCTCACCTTTTTTCTACCTTTGTGTTTGTCTCTTACATCTTTGAAACACTCTTCTGTTCCCCCACCCCCCCCCTCTCAACTTTTTTTACTTTGATGTTCCTTCCTCTCCGTGAAGCCTGAAGTCAACTAAAGAGTTAATGATAACCATCAAGACGCCTGCCATTTGATATAAATAAATTTACCTGTCATAATAATAGAGATGAAGTCTGTGAAAGGATAACTCGGGCCAGCATTAGACCATATCACTTATGATTATTAATCAAAGTAAAATAAAAATGCCAATTATCAATTGTGGAAGTAATATACTATTTGTAACAGAAAGCAAATTTATAATAAAGGGGAGATGAACGATCAGATACTGAGAACATAGTCAAGGTCTCAACTGGGGGGCTGCCAATTGCCGCTCTGATCTATTATCTTACTAATAAAAGAACATGCCTGAGTAATCGTTTTTCTTTTACATAATTTAAATGTAACGATTTGGAAATGTACTAGGTCGATTTGTGTAAGCATCGGAAATCATTGATCATATCAATTCAATGCTAAGTTCATCTCGAGACTCCAACTATGCTTCCTTTGCAATTTTGCATATTTATTTACATAGTCATTCAATGAACACAGTTTTAATAGGTGCATAACGAAATTTAATTATTTATTTTGGCATAAAAGGGTGAGCCCTGAATATTTATCCAATGCAGTCGGTGAAAAATGACGTTCTGGGCTCTTTTTTATTTAGTAAATAGATTTATCGAGTAATAATATGCAGCTATCGAGATAAATGAAGTTGCTATGACCCCTCTTATCATACCTTGAATTTTGGGTGAAGAATAATAAATTATTGGGCTGTCGGATTGCCATTCAAATGTGTGTCTTAAAAGTTAGCATTATTAGAGCGTACCCATTTTATCAAGGATTTGGGAGTGGAACTTATTTAATTATCAGCCATTAATAAATGGACAAAATTGGACATAAAATTTATTCGGTGTTTGAAATAAATTTTTCGAAATATTGAGAACATATGCCATTGCTTTGAGGGGGACGTTTTTTATCCATAACTATCTTTACTCATGAGCAACAATTCAAAATGTATATTTTAATCTCAATGTACTATTAAGGATCCGACTAACATATTAGGTGAGAGTTCATTTTATATTTTATTTCAAATGGCAGACGTTATGATAGGTATCATTAGCCCTATAGTTGACTTCAGGCTTCACAGAGGGGATGGAATATCAAAGTGAAAAAAAGTCGAGTTGGTTGGGGGAAACAGAACAGTGTTTCAGAGATGTAAAAGAGACAGACACAAAGGTAGAAAAAGGTGAGGTGAGCACTATGAAATAAGTCGAGTATGAAATGCAGTGGGGTCTTGGTAGTTTGAAGTCAGAAGTCAGCTGCCGATTAATTGACTTTTTTTCCGTATGAGTATACGTTGCCCAGAGTGCATCACGTGGAGGTAAGTCTATCGAACAACCCAGGTGAGAGTTCATAAGTATCTGCTTGTGATATTGAGTTCATTAAACGATTATCATTCATATTTTTAAAAGTGAGTCGAAAAGAGGCCTGTATGAAAAGTATTATTCAGAACGTAAAACTGTGAGATCATACTCTGATTCATGTTGAAACGACTTTTTATCTATACAACACCTTGAGTTTGACGGAACAAGCAATATCCTAACTGATTGCATCAATATCTCTGGAGTTTTACCTTGACGAGTCCAAATATCTCGCCCAATTTTAGAGAAAGGTAATCGACAATTGATTCGTCTTTAGAAGAACTTTTGTCAAGATTAACTCTTAGAACATTGATCAACAAGACAAACAGGATAAAGTGTTGAGACATGGAGATATCACTCATACTTGGTTCGCCGTGTTTTAAGTTGAGTTAAACAATAACTAACAGCTGGGCCCTTATTGATTTTCCTTAGTACATAATGCATACACGAATAATTTATCAAATTTTTCAGCCTATACAAGCATTCAGGTTTCGCATAAACATATTGGATTACAAAACTTTAGGCTCCAGAAAAAAACCGCCAGTCTGTTTATCCACACTGTGCTCGCGTTAGAGGTCCTTTAAAAGCCTCGATGTGGCTCACGACGAGGTATTTGGAAATTCTCAGTACCATGGCGATATATCAACAGGCTATGTGTGCCACCGACTACCTTCGTAACAAGGTACACTACAGGCCCATGGTGGGAATTATCGGCGGGACTGGACTGGACGGCATTGCTGATTTGATCGTCAATCCGAGGATTGTTCGCTATGATGATATTCCTGGTTTCCCTGACTGTGAGGGTAAGGTAGCCCAGTTCTGGCAAGTCCCCTTGAGATCTCAGGGATATATTTTTCTTTAGACACTTCTTATTAATCAACCGTATATGAACCTTAAATTTTCTATCACCGCATACCAATATTATCAGTGATATATTCTTTCGGGATCTTCTTGACACGATAAATCCTGTAAATCCACCGAGGCAAGTATACTCCAACACATTCAGGATGAATGGAACTATCCTGATGAGAAACGTATACTCATCCGCAATTTACTTTTGGTTTAATTAGTTGATCAAACTGCATGATTCTCTGACAAGTTGGCCTTATTTAGATATTTTAAGTGGCAGGCAAAGGAGCTGATCCAATATTGGGCTCATGTAGAGTAGTTGTTACCGATCTCTGTCCATAGCATTATATTTAGGCAAAGGCTGCGTGATTTTGTTGAGTATTTATACAATACAGCTTATGTAGTACTTATATTATGCGTTCTTTTGAAGGAAATAGTTTCCACAAACATGATGAAAATAGCTAACTCATATGCTCATTGCTATTCACTGATATCACCTTAGAAAAATTGAATTATCTTACTGAGAGCTATGGAGCTACCTTTGCCTGTATGGTAATTTTAATTAATATAAGGTAGTTTCAAATTAGATTTTATCTTATATTGACGTTTGAAAATGATGATCATCACGACATTAATTAATAAATGTTATTTCACTATTACGATTTAATTGTGCGATTATCTACTATTGATGCAAATGTTAAGTGCTAGAGTATGTCTTTAAACAGAGAGCATTACTCTTATTTAATTTTGTTTCCATTCTAGAAAATAAGGCTTCATAGAAAATCCTTTGTTTTCGACAAAGGAATAGTACGCTTTAGCTAAAATGTGTCATTGTACATTTGATATTACTTCAGTAATCGGCGATGAAGGAAAATTTATCTTTGGTGAAATCGGAGGCAAGCATGTTGTTCTATTGCAAAGGCGGCTGAGAACCTATGAATCCCGTGACTACAGTTCAGTAAGTTACAGTAACGGAATTTGTACATCCTTTCCCATTACGGCTCTCATTATTTTCATGCCAGATATCAATTCCGATTCGTATAATACGGCTTCTGGGAGCCAAATATCTCTTCGTTACAACGACGGCTGGTGGTATTAATCCTCTTTTCAAAGTTGGAGATCTTGTAATAGTAAAAGATCACGTGGATTTCTCTTCTCTCGTTGGAAACAACCCCCTCATTGGGCCTCATAATCCTCGGTAATATTTACATCAAATGGCAGGCGTCGTGATGGTTACCATTAGCCCTTTAGTTGACTTCAGGCTTCACGGAGAGAAAGGAACATCAAAGTAAAAAATAGTCGAGAGGGGGGGGGGAAAGTAGAGTGTTTCAGAGATGTAAAATTGATAGACACAAAGGTAGAAAAAAGGTGAGGTGAGTACTATGGGAGTAGTCGAATACGACATATAGCGAGGTGATGGTAGTTTGAAGTGTAGTAGTCGAATTTGACATACAGTGGGGTGATTGTAGTTTGAAGTCATGTCAAATGCCGGTTAATAGACTTTTTTGCCGTATGAGAATGTAGGACATATAGGGGGGTCATGGTAGTTTGAAGTGAGAAGAAAACTGCCGGTTAATAGACTTTTTTGCCGTATGCGGAGAAGTCAACTACCAGTTAATAGACTTTGCCGTATGAATATACGTTGCCCAGGGTGCACCACGTGGAGGTAAGTCTATTGAAAAACGAATGCCGAGTGATAGAATTTTTGCCGTAAGAAAGTACGTTGCCCAGGGTGCACCACGTGGAGGTAAGTCTATCGTAGTTAACTGCCAGTTAATAGACTTTTTGCCGTATGAATATAACGAAAGCCGAGTGATAGACTTTTTTGCCGTAAGAAAATACGCTGCCCAGGGTGCACCACGTGGAGGTAAGTCTATCGCACACAAACTTCCGGTTAATAGACTTTTTACCGTATGAGTATACGTTTCCCAGGGTGCACCACGTGGAGGTAAGTCTATCGCACACCCACCAGAGTGCACCACGTGGAGGTAAGTCTATCGCACACCCCTCCTCGGTAATATACAGCTACTTAATTGAAATTCAGTAGAGTCCAAAATGGCTTTGATTTGCTTGATTCGATAATGGTTCCTTATTGAGAAATATTATTAATACGAATATCCATTCTATCGTTCCAATAACTATTTCCCTGCCATTTTATCAATAGATAATAAATCTTGCTATTGAACTAACTCTAATTGATCTCCTCTTCAAAATTGATCTTTTTATACTTGACATCACAAATACCTCAAGTTTATGAATGTGTTCCATATATATTTCTTTGCAATCCTAAGCAATTACGAATTTATCAGAACATCACTAAAGTATATTTCATTACGGGCCTAGCATTGAATCATGCCACTTAACATGATTACTGAATTTATTCACAGTAATTAGCACTCACTTTAGAATGCTCAAATATATGATGTTTGAATTAATACGTGCTTTGATTACCTTCTCCCAGATTTGGTGATCGCTTTCCAGCTCTCTTGGGTACTTACGATAGATTCCTGCGGGATCTGGCAGCCAAGAGTATGAGTGAGCTCAAGTTGCAAAGTGAAATGCTGGAAGGAGTCTACTTTCACATTGCTGGACCCGCATATGAGACACCTGCTACTTCTCGAATGCTACAACTTCTTGGATGTGATGTTATGGGTTAGTCTAAGTTTATTTTCTATCGCTCCCAGTGAAGTAGGACGATGAAACAAAATTGACCACAACCATTGAGAATAAAGCCTTGTGGGCTAAGAAGAAAATGAAGGATTTAATAAGGTTAGGACTCTTAAAAAACTTGTCGGAAGGGACTGCAGAAACAAATAAGCTGTATACGGAGAGGAGTTGACCAGCTTTCATGCCTGTTGAAGCGAGTCCGATAAAAATTGGACAATTGATAAGAGCAGTTTTGTGTTTATAAAAGAAAACGTCGGATTCGAGCAAATGTGAGAGAGAGAATCCGTAAAGACAGCTGACTTTAAGTGTATGAGGACCCAACTGGGAAGGTACTGACAAATGCGTAGCAATTAAGAACCTGGAAATTTGTCGTCTAAGTATTCACAGGAGTTAATACAAAGACAATGATAAGGATATGCCGGTCGATAACGATTTCAGAAATTGGTTTACTTCAGATCGACTCAAAAGTAGTTCACCCTGCTTAACATTGAATGTACACCGATATTGAGGCCTCTAACTTGCTCATTGATCGCTATGCCAAAGGATGACATAAATAATAGCTGGAAAGAGGTGGTTTCAAAAAAACATTTTAGAATGTATTTCGGTTTGTTAGTGGATCCCATAGTAATGTCTTATTTAAAAGCCCAAAAAATTTCATTTCTCAAGCCATTCACATGGATTGGATTAAACTCGAGGCTTCGATTAAAAAGACTACCCTCTTGAGAGATGCAGGCTTATTTTATTTATATCAGCTAATTCAATCTCCGGACTACAGACAGTTCTATAGATAAGGGCTCGATTAAGCTATAAAATTGCATGACAGTGAAAAGTTTCATTCTGGGTAAGATAATGATGTCAAACCATAGTGCCGTCTAATGAGAATAAGGTGTTTTCATTCATAATAATGTAGCCCATTTTAATCTAGTACGTGAGTGACTGTTTAGGCGGAATTGGATCTGTTCTGCATTTTGAAAGTATAGGAATCCTGTTGTATTTTGTTCGAAGAGTGTTTCTTTCCAATCTGTAGGCATGAGCCTGACTCAAGAAGTTTTGGTCGCTAAACACCAACGAATGAAAATTTTGGCAATCTGTTTAATCACCAACAGGGTTACTACAGATTCGAACGCAACTGATGATCACAATTTCGAGGCTGAAATGCGAATTGCCAGAATGAAGGGAGCAGCAGTTGGAAGGCTCATAGAACGAATCATTTCAAATACCCCCAGTGACTGAATGGTGAAAATATATATTATCACCATTAATTCATTAAAATCCTTAGTACTGCCTTTACGTATTGCGTTAATAAAATTTTGAGTGGCAAAAACAAAACTTGTGTAGTTTGGCAGCGGATTGCTACACTAACAAGCCTTGAAGTATGCTCGGTAATCTTTATGGCGAGAACTCTTAGACCTTAAAGCCTTCCAGGATCAGCTAAGCTACCACAAAACTATTGATTAAACAGATGTATAACGTGAATGCATTTATTTCTGAAGTGTCCTACACGTAGGGGGATGGGGAGGGGGGGGAAGCTTCACTAAACCAGGCAGGGACTATTGATTGGCTGGGGGTGGGGTGGGGTGGGTGATAGACTTGCTTTCAAGTGGTGCACCCTGGGCAACGTATATACTCATACAGCAAGAAAGTCTATTACCTGGCTGTTGACTTCTCACTTCAAACTACCATCACCCCACTCTATGTCATATTCGACTACCTTCACAGTACTCACTTCACCTTTTTTCTACCTTTTGTACCTTCGTCTTTGAAACATTCTTCTGTTCCCCCCCCCCTCTCGACTTTTTTTTCACTTTGATGTTCCTTGCTCTCCGTGAAGCCTGAAGTCAACTAAAGGGCTAATGATATCCATCAAAACGCCTGCCATTTGATATAAATAAATAATAAATTGATTGGTTGGGTGGGTGGTCTCCAACAAGTTGCACGGCCGCACCTTCGAGCCTATCTGAGTGCTCACGAGCCTCCATTGCTCAGCGATGAGAGCGTTGCGTACACCACAGATCACTCAGAAACGAAAAAACTTGAATAAATATATAGTTTAACTTGTAAAAAGTTAAGGCAAATTTTCCAGCACAGCAACATTTTCAACGTAACATGAGAATTACAAACTTAAGGGCATTTGAGTATGAACTGCGCATCTAGGGACTTTCAATATTGTGCAAAGTTTATCAGCAAAATGCAATGCTTTTGTAGTTCCGAAGGAATCACTATGCTGGTCTAGCGATCGACACGCACTTCATGCACCCAATTTTCGTGAAATTTTAAGGCGTACGATAGGTATCGGCGGGCGAAAACAAAACACGAGACTATCTTTAGTACGACTGAAATTGAATTCAATGGAGATCACTTCAAAGAAATTTTAAGAAGTCGATGCAAAATACTGCCCTCATTTATACTGCATGTGCGAATTGAGAAGGACAACTTCATTTACTGAATGTGTAAAAATAGTTAATTTTGTGTCAGAAACTAGAAACTAATGGGTTGTCACAATAACTTGGGAAAATTGGTTACCATGAAAGTACAGTATTGTTACAATATTAAAAACAAAGTCCTATTATCTGAACTATTGATTGACGTTGACATAATTGTCCACTACCCAAGGTGGTGTGAGAACTGTAGAGCAATAATCAGTGTCTTGGTCTTGCCATAGCAAAAATAACAACCCAAAGAAAATTTTTGTGCTTGAAAGTAAACCATTGATATCTTTATCCGTTTCATTTTTTTAATGTCGAAGCTTACAATTCGACTTAGTGGCATCAACAAGACTCGAGGTGGTGGGAATAATATCAAGAGATCAATATGAGATGCAATGATAACATTTCGTTCTTAAATTAGTCTGTTAAAGAGTGATGTTAGCAGTGAGTCGTCAATGGAAGATGCAGAGAAATGGAATTAAAGAAGGAAGATGAAAAGCATGTCTTCCCTTCCGAAAAGCCACAATACTCAGATAGATATGCAAAACGTAATTCAATAAAATCTGGATATATGTGCCAGAAATGGCCTCTATGACCTAGTAGATCCCACTTTCTATAGGTTTATTGTCATGGACTTTTTGCATAATTGGTATTTTCTCTTTCTGGGGTTTGGGGGAAGGTCCGAGTGACAGAACCATTTACTCCTTCTTAATATTCGTTATTCTGTACACATCAGCTCCATTTGAACCAGTCATCTCCATTATATCCCTTTATTCATAGTCAAATATAATTACTAGTACTATTTTTAGTTTGTAACAACACTTGATTTGAGGATATTATTCACATCGGTGAATTCGGTATTTCTGCATTTCACTGATCAGCAAATGAGCTTTTCTGCAGGTTAGTGGAAACGATTGATCGCTCACCTGAAGGTGGAATTTGGGAGAATGTCTCTTTTCCGCTTCAAGGTTAGGTCGTAGTTTACTATGCTGTTTACGAATTTTTTGTGACTAATGCAATTACTGTAAAAGCGAAATGCCTAAGCCTTCAATTAACTCCACTATTACGGATTCAAACTTGGAACATATACACTTGCCTTTTTCCAAAGCGATTCCGGTGCATATTGAATTTCTGCAAGTTTCAAAACAAAGATAATAGACAAAGGACAGATTAATTAAGGTTTTCGATATGGCACTTAAATAAATTTCTTTCAACGAGAACATATAAAATTAGCACTGTGATATCGAAAATATGTATTTGTATTTGCTATCTTTGATTAATATCGAGCAAATGGACTTGCTATCACCTCAAGATTCTTTGCCATTGGTTATTCAGTGATGAAAAGGGGGCCGAGGAAAACTTGTTCCATTTCACTCCACCCCACAACCCCCCCCCCCCCACACACACACTCACACATTTCGCATTTGCCAAGTCTCAGTTCAGCTGATGATTAAATTGCTGAGTGGGCTGATCGCTCCTAGAATTATTAAAAAAAATTTCACGCAATTCATGATTCAATGAGCTACAAATAAAATAGCTCTACCAACTCAATTTACTAGTAAATAAATAAATAAATCTAGATCATTCAA